GATTGACCTTCTAGAAATTAGGAAGAAGTGTATAACCCACCAGATGACTAAAAATCACCACAAAAGCACAAGAAATATGAGAAACCAAGATAATACCTCCCCCTTAAGGGAAAATAACACCTCTTCAGCCACAGACAGTTCAATGGAAATACCTGATAAAAAAAATTTAGAATATTCATAATGACAAAGTTAACAGAGATGCAAGAGAAGAGAGACAATGAGCTCCAGAAGAGGCAGGAGAATAGAGTCAAGGAGTTCCAGAAAGTGAGGAAGGTCTTACACAATCTAAAACAGGAAATACATATCATAAAAAGAACCAAACAGAACTGTTAGAGATGAAGGCTATAATACAGGAAGTCAAAATCTCTCTCCAAAGCTTTAAAAGCAGACTAGGTCATACAGAAGATAGAATCTTGGACGTAGAAAAGAGAATTGCAGGCCTAGAAAAATCCACCACAAAGACTGAGAAAACAGTCCCAAAAAATGAGAATAATATATGAGAAATATTAGATGCCATCAAACGTCCAGATAATGGGTATCCCAGAAGGTGAAGAGACTAGTAAGAGCATTCACAATCTATTCCATGAAATCCTGGAAGAAAACTTTCCAAACCTAGAGAGGCATTCAAAGATCCAGACCCAAGAAATACATAGGACCCCAAACAGAATCAACCCCAGAAGATCTTTTCCAAGACACATTATAGCCAGACTGACCAAAACCACAAAGACAAGATACTCAAATTGGCAAGAGAGAAACAACAAGTTACCTATAAAAGATATTCTATCAGGCTTACAGTGGACCTCTCAAAGGAAACAATGCAATCAAGGAAAGAATGCATTTAAAGTGTTGAGTGAAAAACAATTTCAACCACCTAACAACTTTGACAAATATCCAGAGAATTATGTTGAATAAATAAAGCCAATTCCTTTTCATATAACAGTCCTGAAATGACAAAAAAGTAAAGTGGAAACCTGTTTAGTAATTAAGGTGAGGCCAAGAGAAGGTGTGGCCATAAAAGACAACATGAATGATACTTGTGGTGTGAAAATGTTCTCTATCTTGACTGTATCAATAGCAATTTATAGTCAGTGTATCATTGGGGGAAACTCAGTAAAGGGGTTCCACATCTCTCCATACTATTTCTTAGAACTGCATGTGACTACAAACAAAACAATAAAATGTTAAAACAACTGGGATAAAAGCAAAAAAAGTTAACCTTAATAAGGAAAAAATACTTTACAGAGGTAAAAGAGAAAATAAAGACTTGGTTGACAGTGGCAGATTATGCAGATAATTAGAAATTTCTCTCTAAGCTCAACTTCAATGCTAATTGGACTATGAGGAATATGGGCTATGAAAGAGGGTCAAATGACATAAATGAGAGCTTTAAAAAAATCAAGAAACCATGGGGACCAACATTTAGCGTAATGGCTATGTCGCTGGACTCCCACGTAGTCGACCGTGGTTCGCGTCCTGGACCCAGTGGCTTAAAACTCACGCCGGGGCACATGTGCATGCGTGCCCAAGATCCCGAGAGGAGAATGGAGAAGGGATTGCGGCATGACCATCCCCCCTGGGGGGTGATTTCTCGCTTTCTGTCTCTCTCTGTCTGTCTGGTGAGCACACACGCTCTATAGCGAAAACCTCTCCAAAAAGAAAAAAAAGAAATCAAGAAACCTTTACTATTAAAGTCTGTAGCAAACAGGATTAAGAGTCACAACATGTTTTTCTCTTCCTTTGGTGTGCTAATATAAATAAAATAAAACACAAAACGGCATCCCCTATTTGTCTTATGGCATTTTGTTTTAAAGAAGTTTTTGCCCAAGAGACAGAGAGACAGACAGTGAGAGGGAAAGTGAGAAATCACTCCCAAGGGGGGATGGCCACAATGGAATCCTTTCTCTTCCACTCTCCTCCCAAGATCTTGGGCAAGCATGTACATGCTCCCAGAATGAGTTTCAAGCCACTGGGTCCAGGACTCGAACCATGGTTGGCCATGTGGGCCAGAAATGTAAGTAATACACCATCTGCAGACTCCTCAAGCACTATTACTTTACTTGCTCATTCATTACACAGAAGTTACTAATTCTGTTTTATCCATAAAGTTGTGAAGCATTCACTATAACTGAGAATTTTCCGAAAAAGTTATTCACTATGAATACAATTTGCAAGTCACTGTGAAATTTAGCACAATGGAACTATGTAAAATTATAATCTCAACAATAACGGGCAAAAATTAACAATGCATTTCTTTTTCTTTTTGGAGAGGTTTTTGCTATAGGGCAAATACGCTCACCAGAAAGACAGAGAGAGACAGAGAGTCAGAAGGTGAGAAATCACTCCCCAGGGGGGATGACCACACCACAATCCCTTCTCCTCCATTCTCCTCTTGGTACTACTGACTTCTGAGTGGTGAGCAGCTGAACTTGGTTAGTCCTGGACTGATTCCAGTTTTAGGTAAAATTAGAATCCCAGATTTTCACCCAGGAAAGTACAATATTCCTTTTTCTACCTCTTGCACAAAGAATTTTTTTCCTGGGCCCACCAGCAGTTAGTGTAACGGCTATGTCGCTGGACTCCCATGTAGTCGACTGTGGTTAGAGTCCTGGAACCGGTGGCTTAAACTTACACGGGCACGTGTGTGTGTGTTCCCAAGTTCATGAGAGAAGGGATTATTGGGGGGGGGGAGTGATTTCTCGCTTTCTGTCTCTCTGTCTCTGTCTTTCGGGTGAGTGCACACGCCCTATAGCACCCCCCCCCACACACACACACACAAAAAAACACCTCTCCAAAAAAAGAAAAAAAAAAAGAATTTTTTTCCTTTCTCTTACGTGAATAAGCGTAGCCTCATGAACTGAGGACTTCCATAACTGGCTAATGCAACAAGCCACATTTGTTTGTTTTTATTAACATTTTACATCTTTTACAAGGCATCTAAGGAAAGCCCATGGAGCTTGCATTTGCCAGGATACATAAGAAGAAATGTTTCTGCTCCCAAAGCTGCACCAGTATAAACTTTGAAATAACATTCTTAGGCTAAATTGACTATCAATAATGCCTAATAAAATTCTTAATTAGTCAGCACATTCCACTCTCAGTGCACTAGGTAAATGTATCAATTAATTAATGTTTAACTTTAATTCAACAAACACTTCCTGAATGGTTATGTCTAGTCACTGTAGAGGCATCAAAGATACAGTAGTGATAAGAAGGTACCTGCTGATCTTTTCTAGTACACGGGCAAGTACATTAGAATCTAATGAATGCTAAGATGCAGATACATGCAAGGATCCATAGCCCCAGAGGTGCATGAGAAATCACCTAAACCAGCAAGAAGACAATGAGACAACAAAGAAAAAGTGATTTACATAGACCTTAAAGATAACCATGTATCAGCCAGCTGAGAAGTAGAGATGGGAAAGCTAAACAGACTGACACAAACATTTATAGTCAATTCACTTCAAATAATACACTAAAATAATCAAATGGAGAAAAATCCCAAAGAGAATGAAGAGAAAACTTTGGGCAGTGAAATCTGATAACCAATAGACAAGAGCTAACTGATATTAAAGATCAGAAAAAGGTAAAATCTAAGAGTTGGGCTATATGGAAGCCCAGAAAGAGGTTACTTAGTTGAAGTAAAATTAAGAGAAATTCATGAAATAGAGACAAGGGTACTTCCAAAAGTGGGTTTGCAGACAAGTCATAAAATAAGAAGTTCATGGTTGAAACCCTGTGTAAAAGGCAAATAAGAACTCCTGATTTCTCCCTTCTTTTTCAATGGAGAAAGGAGAAAGAACACTCTATCGCTTCCAGATACTGGACTCAGTGACAAGAAGCATAGCTGGTGAGGGAGGAACCAGAAGAGAGAGGAAAAAAAAAAAAAAAACGGTGTTTAAAGTGAAATCCTACTTCCAAAAAGGTGAGAATTCTGATCCTTTCCTCTCTGGCAATCAAAATACTGACAACTAGGTTTATACTCTACTCCAAAGAAGAGATCAAAAAGATTTCGCACTCAGAAATCTGAGGCCGGCAGGCAGACAAACACACTGGCCCACCCACAGAGATTATAGACCAAGATCTGTCAATGTAATGACCCTACCAATAAAGCACAACAGTTCACAGCTCCTATCATGAAATATGAGTTCTCAATCAGCTGTTTAAGAGGACTATTGATTTCCACTGTAAACTTCATTTTTTCTTTTTAAAACTATGTCCTGACTGGGCCATCTGTGGCATGATGGTTCAGCACTGCACATTAGAAGCCAGATCTCGCATGGTTGACTACAGTTCAAATTCCAGTCCCAGTGGCTTGAGAAGAGGGAAAAAAAAAAAAAAGAGAGAGAGAGAGAGAGAGAAAGAGAGAGAAACCACATACTTTGACAAAAATTTAAAAAGTCAATAGCAGGTAAAGGCGGGACAGAAAGGAAATGTGAAAGAAGGTTATCTAAGCAGATTTTACTTTTATCATTTTTAAATCATGCTTATATATGTTATAAATAATTCAGAACTATTTTAAAAACTAATCAGTTCGGGGGCTGGCAGGTGGCATGGTGCTTAAGGGTACTGGACTCCCACATGGCCGACTGTGGTTTGAATCCCAGACCTGGTGGCTTGCTTTATTACTTTCCCTTCCTGGTTCTCTTGCTCTATCTCTCTAGTCAAATTAAAATAGAAAGAAAGAGAGAACTCAGGACCAGCAGTTGGCTATGTCGCTGGACTCCCAAGTAGTCGATTGTGGTTCAAGTCCCAGACCCGGTGGCTTAAACTCACACTGGGCGCATGTGTGCCCATGATTCTGAGAGGAGAATGGAAGAGAAGGGATTGTGGTGTGGCCATCCCTCTTGGGGGTGATTTCTCGCTTTCTGTCTCTGGCAAATACACATGCCCTATAGCAAAAACCTCTCCAAGAAAAAAAGAAAGATAATTCTTAAAAAAAAAAAAAAAATTCTTGATCCTAATAAAAGTACATGTAATTAGTTATGTAAAAAGTACTCAACCTGTATATCCATTAACATAGATGGCAACTCCACTAAAAATCGTAGATGAAGTTCCATCTTTCTGCATAGCAGCATCTGATCGAAACTGTTCTTCCAATTTCTGGACCTTGGCAGCCATATACCCACCCTAGAATTAAAAGAAAAGGTAAACCAATCATTACATTTTATCTGCCCTGGTCATAAAGAAACACATAGATACACAGACAAATTCCATTCTGTCTAGAGACCAAGGTATAATGACCTCACCATGAACCACAAAGCAAGGCAATAAGAGTTAAAAATCAAGGACTTTTCTCTTTGTCAACACAACAATTTTATTACAATCTTATTATGAAAAAAGTTACTTTTAAAGGTATGTCAGTAACAATAAACTTAATACCACATAATACTGTTTATGCACATAACTGAGCAATTTACATTAATTAAACCAATTAGAAATTTGACAAGTGGTCTAGGAACAACTTTAGACTGGTCTCCACCATCTCCTCTACATATGGAGTTGAAAATGAACTACACATGAGGCTAAGAACAAAATGAATGACTCAATGGCTAAATTCTGGATCTAATCAATCTATTTGATAGTACTACTAACTTTCATTAGATAACATCAACCCCACAAAGAATATTAAAAACTGTCATTTTTACTAAACATCTTGACAGATCTATGAATTCAGTTACACTTTCCCTAAATGCTGAAATAATTAAGCCTGAATGATTTGATTATTAGGTCTTTAAATTAAAGCTGAAGGTGGCTAGAAGTGTTAAATTTCTCTTTCAAAATAGAAATGTTTTCATTGACTATCAAAATATTATATGCTCACTGTAAAAAAATTTTCAAAGCATTAAAAATTGGTATGATCCTATTCATTAACATTTTCCAGTGTTATACTCAAAGCATTTCTACTTCTAAGAGACTAGGGCACTTCCAAAAGTGGGTTTGCAGACAAGTCATAAAATAAGAAATTCATGGTTGAAACCCTGTGTAAAAGGCAAATTAGAATGCCTGATTTCTCCCTTCATTTTCAATGGAGAAAGTAGAAAGAACACTCTAACATTATTTTTGTAAAAATAATATTCTAATACACATACACACACACACACACCATATAAGGGGTTTTCAAAAAGCTTACAGAAATACGAACAATCTATGCACAAACATCAAATTTTTCTGCACCAAAATAAATTCACACTTTAATTCAATTTTTCTATAAACTTTTTTAAGTCCCCTCATAATTTATTTGACCAATACCTTATTACTTAACATTTCTGTATTTTCCTGTTTTCTAGTATTACTAGCATTGCTACAATTATATTATCAATAATAAATTTTTGTAGACTACCATATTTACTTCTTCAGGATAAAATTTCTAGTTTAGGGGTTAAAAGTTTATGAACATTGGAAATGCTTTCTTGTTTTTTCTTTTCTTTCTTTTTTTTTTAAGGCTTTTGCCATAAGACATGTGCACGCCTAGAGAGGGACAAAGAGGGACAGAAAGAGGAAAAGTGAGAAATCACCCCCAGGAGGATGGCCACATCACAATATCCTCTCCTCCATTCTCCTCTCAGGACTTTGGGCACACACACACACACGCCCAGTGTGATTTTTCAAGTCACCAGGTCTGTGATTTGAACTGTGGCTGGCAATGTGGGAATCTAGCACCTTAACATGTCGTTCGCTGGTGCCATGTAAACATTTTCAGTATGCTGAGAAAACTCAAGAGTTGGTGTCTAAAGTGATTTATAATTTAGAAAATGACTTAAATCACATTATAAACTAAAAGAAGAATGAAAAATACCTAGACAGTTCAATATAATTATTTCTTTTAAAACACACCCATTTTTCCCAGCCATCATTTTCAGCTCTCTTCCTCCATCCACCTCGCCTCATGGTGGAGCTTCTGTATTGGGGAAAAAAAGAATAGGTAAGTTTCACAAAATAACATGTTCCAAAATGATACTTTAATGTCAAGAAAAATTAGAAATTGAATTCAAATGTTTAACTAGCAAAAGTCAAAAGTATACTTACTACTAAGTAAACTTTTCCCAAAATGTATTACTCATTTTAAAATGAAATTTGTTCCTCAAATACTCTCCTCTAGGTAAGTATCATGTTTAAGTGGTAACTACTTCAAACAGGAACAATTTGTAAGCATTCCTGAACACCAATCCTAATACCCACTTACACAAAACATCACCAAATTCAACTAACATGGCCACATTTACTTGATTTGTTATCATTAATTAGCGTAATGGAATATAGCAAACATTTCCTTTCATGAGTATTCCTATAATACAGTTCTTCAATCTGACTTTGTTACTATATCCTGGACACTTGAGATTGCACTGATAGTGTTATTCACATATTCTGCAAAAAGCTCTAGAAGTAGTCAGTCAAAACAATACACCTTAGGGGACATGATGCTAACTAGCAAGTCTGGCATTCTCCTTAAGGTAACACTTAACCAATTATACTATAAAATGGCCAAGATGACTAAATGATGGCTCATCTCAAGTGTCAGCAAGATATAACACAATTCATACATCATAGCTCAAATGAAAACTCCATGTAAAGTTAAATTCTTCTAACTCAAATGGCTACATCTTGGGGTGAGGGAAACTGGACCATGAGGTAGTGATAAAATGTTATATATACTCTGCAAGTCTGACCCAAATGGGAAAGTCCCAGGTTCATTTTTGGAGCATGCCAAGCACTCATGTGGCCCATGAACCCGGGGCTGGCTGAAGCTGATAGTACCTGAGACCACAAGGGGTGGTGTCTGTCTATCTCGTGGAAGAAATGATTTTACGGGACCAGCAGCTAGTGTAATGGCTATGTTGCTGGACTCCCACGTAGTCGACCGCAGTTTGAGTCCTGGACCCGGTGGCTTAAACTCACGTCTGGCGTGTGTGCGTGCGTGCGTGCAAGATCTTGAGAGGAGAATGGAGGAGAAGGGATTGCTGCATGGTCAACCTCCCTGTGGGGTGATTTCTCACTTTCTGTCTCTCTAGTGAGTGCACACGCCCTATAGCAAAAACCTCTCCAAAAAAAAAAAAAAAAAGAAAG